ATTATGTCGTGTGTGTGTGTGGTGGGGGGGGGGGGGGGAACCACCTGAGTTTATGCTTATGGTTTCTTTATCGTAATTGGACAAATGCAGATTTTTTCCAGTTCTCTTACATCCTTAAAACTATCAAGCCAATATAAGACAGTGAGTGTTTTCCAGATATTTGGTTTACGTTAAGAATAAGATGTGATAAAGTTTTGTATTGTAAACCAAATATTATTCTGTAGCCATGATTTATTGGCAGGATAAATTGCTAGTCTCATCTCTTATGGAGTTTCCTATATTTCATTTACGCTACTATTATACATTGTAAACAACTATTTTTATACTTATGTGTAGAAAAGCAAACAAGTACTCTTGATCTATGGGCTAATGCTTAAAAGTCCAGTATAAATACTTGAAAATAGATTTAGCATCTTTTGCATCAAACATTAATATGGCTCACTTAGGCGCTCTTAACGTGAAGGAAAATTGGGTTTGTATGAAATGGCTACACTAGGACATTTCATGCTTTTGCAAGTGCAGTAGTACGATAATTTCCTACAGTATGTCATTATCCTCTGCCCTGTGGTTCTTTTTAAAATTCTCTCTTTTCACTCAGGCTATCTGCACTATGTTTTTAAGCTATATAGTTTCCAAGCTACATACTTTTCATTTTGTGAACAACATGTATTCAAATTTTGAGCAACTACATCACAAGTCAAGTAACATACCATATTGAGGTATATTCCCTTTGGACACTACTAATAGAACTACAACTGCAAAAACTTGGAGAGAAAAAATGTCTCTCAGACATAAAGCCAGGTCAAGTTTTATTTTTTCCCAATAAAGACAAGAAAATACTATTCTGACCATATCAGGAAGGAATATAAGGAATTCCGCTATACTTTTGCTATTTGTCCATTTTACCATGACTAATGCTTATTAATTCCTACATACATACACTATACTAAAGGTAAATTAATTTATTGCCCATTTGTCATTGTAGCCAAATCTATCATTTCTTAAAAGAGCAGGAAGGTTATAGGTAGTGTGTTGTTTTTAAATATTGGTATGAGATCACCCCTAAAATAATTACATTTATGTAATTCTGGATGCCACTCCACAAGGGAGGTGGTCTCCTCTCAGATCTACAACTGCTGGTAATGTCTGGTTTTGAAGAAGAAATAACTCTTACAGATGAAAAAGCGCTTTTTAAAATGCATAAGAATGATGAACGTGAAACACGGATGGCAAAATAGGATATCTGTTCAGAGGATCAATATGTAGTTGACAGAATGAGGGTCTGGTTGCAGGCGACAACACACGAGTATCTAAAATTACTGTACTGACCTTTGTATAGAAAATACAGCATTTGAAAGATAGGGAAATACTATTGAAATACAGCATTTTACACTAAATGTAAAAGGTCATAGTCATCTAAGCACAGAGATCCCCCTTCTTCATTCACAAATAGATATTAAGTAAGAAAAATAAGACTTGACTTCCCCCCTGACAATCAAAGGAAAAGATTTATTTAGATACTAACATCTGTCTGCAGATTGTGGCCAAGTGCTTTTCTGTGCTCATTTAGGACTCCTCTTGGAAAGCTTTCCAGTTACATTTACCTAGAGATTTCTCTCTTCTACTTCCCATCTGACAGAAATCATTCAGCTGGGTCTGATGAATAATGGTAAAAGGCAGCTTGTATCAGTGATGATTGAATTACACATTGTTAAAACTGCCATAAAGGCTCATTCCAATGAGTACATTTAATTTACTTACTCTGCTCGGGGCTAGAAGCTTGTAGTTGTTTGAGGTCTTTATTTTACAAGACTTAAAACAAAAAAGAACCACCATTTTCTGTGAAAAATTATTAAACATTTGTGCCACTTTTTGTCTATACTCCCTAAACTTTTTGTAATGTGATAGGTGCCTAAGCCAATACACATTTAACTTTTAAACACAGTTTTGAACCCATATTAGCACCCTCTGTGCCCATAATATACACACTGCAAAATATTAGAAAACAAGGCAAAAGGGGAGTATAAAGAGGAGGACAGAGAGAGTAGAAAGATGCAAGTCTAAAGGTAGAAAGATGTAGTTATATGAAAAATCTAAAGAAAATTAATTTGTCAGCTTTTTCTAAGAAAGGGAAGCAGGCGTCATGGCATTTAATTAAGGTGGTTTTTTTTTAACTGCAATACAAAGCGGATTAATTTAGTCCTCTACCATCAGAAAAGCAGATCCTCCAGGGAATAGTGCTTTGAGAACAACACCAGTGTTTCAAACAACAAGTCTTAATAAGAACACTATCTGTTCAAAGATTGCAAGCAAATCTTGGAAACGAATCCTTCTCTATTTTGTTACCTGAGATTTCAAGTTTTTGATACTGAAACTCTTTTTTCGGTGTCAAACAATCATGCAAGAGGGGGTCAGAGAAGGAATGAGAAGTCAGGTGATTGACGCTTAAAACCAACAATTACATGTATTTATTTCCAGCTGAACAAGTCAAGTGAAAGGCAGATCCACTTGGAAGACGAGTAAAGTCAAGCAGTTTTCCCTCTCCCACAGCAGGAGTTCGAGGATTTGCTTCCTCGCTTGTAAGCGGTTTGATTGCTTTAGGTTCAGTTTTTTACCTCTAGTTTCCTTTAGCCTGCAGAATCCCACCCCTCCGATCTCCCCCAATTTCGTCTCATGCCACCTTCCAGTGGACTGGAAAGCAGCCTTCTCCGAGACAGGAGAAACACTGGGCGGGTGGGGATTGCCAGAATTGAACCCAGCGTTCAAATCAGGAGACACCGGACAAACTGTTTTCCAGCCTCTGTTAACAGGAACATGTGCGCTCTCATCACCGCCCACACAATAGACCACCTGGGTCTCCCTCTCTCTTTCTCTGTACACATCTCTTAATCCCCCCCACACGGTAACCACAAAATCCAAGTCACTGCAAGACAGCAAACATTGCAGACAGATCCAGCAGCAGCAGAAGCACTAACACCACTGCCTTACCTGGCAACCAGGGCAGGAGGAGTCTGTTTGTCCTTCAGTGCTCTCGCCTCCTTGTCTAGTAGCAATCACACGCTCTCTCTGCCTCTCATGGGAGGAGACTGCAATACAAAAAGATGTGTGTGTGTGTGGCAGACCTCCCACATCCACCAGCAGGTTTCTATAGTCCCCTGCTCTCAGTGGGGTTCGCTTTGTGTTGGGTGTTAAGTTTCAGCTGCTGCTGGCTGGGCGGTGGAGGAGGAGGAGAGATACTGGGGGCTGTGCAGCTTGTAGAGCATCACCACACTGCAGCTTCTCCAGGAATCCCTCCAGTGAGAGGCAGCCCATCATCCCCCAGCCCTGGCTGCCTGATTGGCTGAGAGGCGGGGATGCTGCCTCCGCTATCCAATCAGGCAGCACTAATAATAGGTGGACCTGCTCAGCTGGCATCGCCCATCCCAGGGATCTGTTAGTCTCTGTCCCCCCCAGCGGGCAAGGGGGCTGGGAGGGAGTTCCCTGCGAATGACAATCAAGGACATCAAATCAGTCCTCTGGACCGGCAAAGTGATGACCCCCAAGCAGTGCTGCAAGCTGCGCGCTGGAAATAGAGACGGCTGGGTGACCTGATTCGCCCCACCCCCTGGGACTTCAGGCAATTTATAGTATGGCATTTACCGACCACAAAGAGAGGCACAGTAAGAGAAAAGCAGGAGATGGGGGATGGGGCAGAGGGGTGAGCAGGAACCATAGGCACTAATAAAAGTAAAAGAGCAAGAGTCTTAATCAGAAACAGAGCCCAGGAGGCGGCTGCTGCTGCTTTTCAGGTGCAAACGGAGCTGGTGAACTTGTTCATTTCTCTGACCCTTTTTTAATACTCCTTTTTTTTAAAATTGCCTTCTGGATGGGCGCTTTCCAACCCTACAGCTGTGAGGAGTTCGTGTGCAGTAACATCTAATCAATGGCTGCAAATAAAATTCGCCATAATTGAGTTCTTTGGTTTTTACAGAGCAGATTTTATTGGCGTTTTCAGGTAAGGAAATATAACAGCTAACTTAATTCCCTAGCTCCGTCCACTCTGAACTGGAGCTTTGATTAATATTGGTCCGCAAAATGTAACTGTACCACAAATTCAATTAACAGAAGCACATTTCTTCAACTTTTAATTAGACCTGTCCTCTTTGTCTAATGTTTAATAGAACATAAAGAGCTACTCGGAGGTTCCAAAGGGAAATGGAGGCAGTTCTAGATGTAAATGTAGCTGTTGCAAATATAAATAATGGATATAAAAAGAATAAGCTTCTTTCCTGCCTAAATTACATTATTACTGCATGTAAATCACAGGGTGTCAAGGTTTCTCAGAATTGCCAAATGGAAAACGTTAAATTCTATAAATAATAATGTCACATTAATATCTTTCCTTTTCATTGGCCAAAGGTACCACTCCAGGTGCAAAGGTGAATCGTAATCTACACTTTATACACCATAGTTTGGCCAGTACAGACTATTACAGGATTACAATTCTTGTATTAAGCTTTAATATATGGCAATAGGTTCCATAACTATGTGCCTGTTTTTATTTAGTATGCTTAGTGAAAGATGCATTAACATATAAGATGTATATTATGGCATCTAGATTTGGGGGGAGAGGAGAGGAGGGGGCGCACATCAGCAGTAGTGTATGAGGGCATGACAACTCTAGAAGTCATAATGCCCCAGCTGCCATTGGAAGCACAGTAAGCAATGAGTCTTACTACACCTTCAGGGGAAAAAAAGTATAGTCTGCTTTTTCATACCCAGCACTTCCCTAGTGGTGTTTTCCAGGGGAAAGCTATGGCCCTGCTCTTGCTCAGTTCAAATACACACCCTTTGGTCCTATCAGTGCTAGACAACTCCCCACTTCTAGCAGTCAAAGTGTGACTGCTTCTTGTACAGGTGTGTTAGGCCATGATGGTGGGAAGGGAGGGGGTAAAGGAAGGGGCTATTTGCACCCATCTAATGCACCATGGAAAAACAGCTATAATTTAGCCCAAGAGGTCTAGCTATGCTCTTGGGGGAAATGTGGTATTTGACAAATTTCAGAGCCAAAATCACACACCTACTTCCAGTGTGTCCATAAAAACTGCTGTTCTGTCCCCAGATCCAAAGACCCCAGCAGCTGCTTTCTATATGTCATTTACTTGGTGAGTTAAAAGAAAGCTATTTCAGTGCCAATAATTTTACAGACACAATACTGCATCCCTGGCACACTCACACATGCACAATGAAGTCAATGGGAGTTTTGTGTGCACAAGGAATGCAAGAATCACGTCCTACAGGGTTGAGCAGTGTTTTGTTTATATAATTTAAGCCCAATGCACCCCTCCTATAATGCAAGAAGAAAGGAACAGAAATTAGCACATGTGGAGAAGGCAGCACGAGAACTGCATAGCTCCACATCCCTATCTTAGAGGTCCTCCACAGGAAGTCTGCCTGGTTTAAGGCAATGACATATTTGGTAGGGGCTGGGTGTGTGTATGGGGTTTTGATGGTGGGGGGAATTTGCATCATGCGCCCCTCCTAGCCCAGTCAAAGCACCTATGACTTTTTTACATTATACAAACAAAACATTATTTAGCCTATGTGGTGATGCCTCCCTTACTGTAAGCAAACTTCACTCCCCTACTGAATATCTACCCACCTCTCAGGGGAAAGAGGGTGAGTGTCTAGCCATAAACCAATTGCTACCAAGTTCCTAAGGAATTCTTACAGCCATGAGAAAAGACAAGTCTTGCAACAAGCCTAGAGAGTAAAAACCAGGGACAGGATGTGGGCAATAAACAATAAATCACGGAAACCCAGTCCCCGCAGTGTGGGGCTGACAGCCCAAGTCCTTGCCACCCAGGGCTGACAACCGGAGCCCCTGCCACCCAGGGCTCAAGTTGCGGTGGTCACATAAAATCACGGAGTCCGTGACCAACTCATAGCCTTACTCAGAATCCATGGAGGAATGTCCAATCTGACCAGAAGGGCTAGTTAGCCTTTCCCACTGCGTTCATGAAGCACAATGATGAGCATTGTGGTTACCTCCTGAATAAATGCCCTCAGGCAGGGCCAACAATACTTCTAAAACATTAGATTACCCTTTCATTTTTTAAAAGGACATTAAGTGGGGCCCAATCATGCAGTTATTACATGAGAGATCCTACCTCAATAAGCTGCAAGATCAGACCCATATTTAACCCTGTATCTCTTGGTCATAGTCTACTCTAAATGATCACTAAGCAAGGAGAACTGTCACAATACAGAGGCTTTGGAATAGAAGAAGCTACAATGGGCATCAGAGAAGAAACTGAAAATCATGGCCTGTCTCAAAAATTAAATAAAAATACTAGAATGTCACCGTGTTTTTTCTTTCTCATTTTTATGCTTCTGTTCTCTGTAAGTTATGACTTGGAAGAAGGGGGGAGGGAAAGGAAAATAAATATGGACCATAGCGGTAAAATGGTGGTGGAGAGAGAGAAAAAAGGAGACCAACCAGTTCCACAAAATGGAGAGAGCCTAAGAGTGCTGGGAGCAAATGAAACCAAAAACACACGCTCAGGCCATGACATGAATAAAGCTCTTACCAGTTTTACAGCAGATAAAGAGCAGATTCAGGAATGACAGAATTTGTAATGTATCAGCCCACAGCACACTCAAACCAGCCATTGGGGCCCTGCCTCTGGGCCTATACTGCCACAGGATTCCCTTTCTAAGTCAGCCCCTGTGTGACTCAGGCCCAGTCTACACTACAGAGTTAGGTCAATCCAAGGCAGCTTATGTTGACCTAACTGAGTAAACATTTACATTACAATGTTCCTCCCACCGATTTAACTCGCCCGCTACATCGACCTAATAACTCCACCTCCGCAAGAGGCATAGCGCTTAGTTCAATGTAGTTAGGTCGATGCAGTGTCAGCATATACACTATGTTACTTATGTCAACTTTAGTGGAATCCAGGAGGTGTCCCACAATGCCCCACCATGACTGCTCTGACCCTGGTTTTGAACTCTGCTGCCTGGCGGTCAGGTACACAGGAACATGTCCCTCCCCTTTTAAAGCTCTGTGAATTTTAAATTCCATTTCATGTTTGCTCAGTGTGGAGAGTTCACATAGCAACCGCCCAGCTGACCAGGCCGGCTCCATGCAGCAAACGTGCTCCTTCCTGGAGTCCACAGGAGATGGTGGATCTCCTGGCTTTGTGGGGAGAGGAGGCTGTGCAGTCACATCTCCAATCCAGCCATCGAAATGTCACAATCTACGGACAGATGATTTGGGGCAGGGGAGAAGGGCTACAACAAGAACATGCAGCAGTGCCACATGAAAATCAAGGAGTTGCGGCAGGCAAACCAGAAGGCAAGGGAGGCAAACAGTTGCTCTGGTGTGGAGTCTCAGACAGGCCACTGCTATAAGGAGCAGCATGCCATGCTCTGCGACGACCCAAGTCCCAAGGGCCCCGTGGATAGTTCAGGGGAACTGGAGTCACAGGCCATCGGAATAAACCCTGAGGACTAGGTGTTGGACGAGGAAGAGGAGGAGGAGCAGGATGGGGGACAGGAGACCCGGGGATCCTGTAGAATGGTGAGCCAGGACCTCTTTTTGACTCCTGAACGAGCCACCCCCAGCAGTCCCGCACGGGCAAGCCAGATGTGGGGGAGTATGCAGTTTGCTTCAATATTGCAGGGACTCATCCGTTGTTACTTAAAAAAATATATATATCAGGCTCGAAGAGGTAGTGAAATAACCAGTAGAGGTATATTTGCTATTTGCTTATCATTCCCCTGTACAGCTAGGCAGAGGGGACCCTGCGGAACAGTTTGTTTATGTGCACTGGGATGTCCGGTGAATCATCCATGGAGATCTAGAGGAAACTTTCCTGAAAGTAGCCTGTAATCCTCTGCTGCAGGTTTCTGTGGAGGGCTGCCTTATTTCTTCCAACATGGTAAGATACTTTCCCATGCCAGTCAGCAATTACTTCAGCAGGCACCATTGCAGCACACAGGCTAGCAGCCTATTGACCTGATCTGCAGCCAGACCCGTGCAGGAACTGTTCTGTTTCAGCCGCCATTAGCCTCAGGAGTGAGATATCAGCTAAAATCACCAAACGGTGCCAGCATTCAGTTCAATTGCCCTATCCACGTATACTGATGCCCCTGAGCTACCCACCATATTGTCCCAACTTGCCCCCTTCCCTCCCTGGGCTGTACTCACCATGGCTGGGACTGCCACTGTGCTTTATGAATCCCAAGGAGAAGTGTGAAAGTTGTGCTTCTAACTTGTCAAGGAGAGTGAATGCACTCCCAGTAGTACCTCTGTCCATTGTTTCTTTAG